TGTCAGTGCCTTTTTAAGAAATTTTCACTGGGGGGGCAATGCAGGAAAAAGGCGAAACGAAAAATGAGCCGACGAGGTTTGGCGAACGCGTGAGACAGAAGGAAACCTATGTTTAAATGCAAACAATAATTTTAACTCTTTGCAGTTATAGTTGTACAGCATTTAGGAAAAAAATTTGGCCACAAAATCTCTTTGTTTATATGTTTCAAGACATGGCCTTGCACTGCGTCGGTCTTTTTTGCTGCATGAAAAAGGATACAACGGCTGGCCTTGGGTCATATAAAGCAGTAGGGACACCGTTCCAGGCTATAATCATTGTATCATTTAATGTTTTCTTTGTGACGAGGTTTAGAAAGCTAGCATTCTATTCAATTAATTCTATGAAATCTATCGCTACTGTGAAATATTTGTCGAAGAACATATTATGCATTACATGCAAAATGGCTGTGGAGAAAGCCGTATGGAAGGCCATAATCTCTTTATCATGCAAGTAAATCAACAGCAATTCTCAGAGCAATCATGAGCAATACGGTGTCGTAAACGGGGGCAGAAATGTAGTTACTGGGGGGGCAAATGCATTCTCTGGGGGGGCAATTGCCCCCCAGATATATAGTTACGTAAAAAAGGCACTGTAACATGTCAAACATTTGTCAAACATGGACGATAGTGGAAGGAGATCGAGAGATGATCCAACTTTTAAAGCTGGGCAAAAACACTATTGCTCAAAGATTCACATGAGAAAGCTGTTCGGAGATGATTCGAAACGTTTTGACAAATTTAGGTTTGTATGAACGAAACAGACTGGGGCCGGTTGTATGAAAGCCGGATAGCGCAATGGATAGCTCTATCTACCGGATAGTGTTTTTTTCAATCGCTTTAAAATCGCCCGTTTTTTGGCATAACTTTGATTAAATCTTAGTATTCCTAAATCGAGGACCTCTTTAATAATTGTTGGGTCCAGTATCATCAGGGCAATACACAGAGAATGGAGTCAGACAGTCAGTGCATGGACAACAATTAAGTAACCATTTGAAAATTATCACAATATGGCAGAACAAACCAAATAAATTAATTGTGGACGTCCATCTTTATAAACTGTGCCATAAATTTGAAAATATATAGTGTGTTTGTCTTAATGATCCACATATACCCATAGATCTTTTATCTGACTATCAATAATATTCTGTAAACCTAATTAATCCATTAGCAAAATTCCTTATAGTTTTTTATGGTGTGTATATGCTATTTAATTACAATAGGTCTTACTCATAATGATGACAAACATATCACATGTTTGATTAGTTCCACAAAGCTAACAACCCAATCAAACGTTTGACTGTGACCCCCAAACCCATCTTGCCACCTGTGAGTTTTGCAAAATATCAAACTGGATTCATAATTGATTAAATGGGTTAATTGCAAAAATAGAATTGCAAAACATAGAATATGGTTATTCGGGTATAATGGTTATTCCAAAAGCTGTTTACTCATGTCTAATTATCATCCCAGTTCACATAGAGTTCACTGCAGACAAAACATTAGTCATGTGTCACCTGTAGTGAACTCTATGTGAACTGGGATGATAATTTGCCACCAGTTTGAAGCTGATTTGAATAACCAGTGCCCAGCCTAACTTGTTAACTCGATTCACAAACATGCCGAGAAACAAAAAAAGCAGTGGCAGATATAGGGTTGTGCAGAATAAATTACACAGCTCAATTTTAAATTCAAAACACCTTAATAACAACGCTATTGGTTGTAGGTTTGAAAAGAATATTTTTCCCAAATATTGTTAGCAGAGTGTAAAAACAATCAATTTCAAAAGAAATGAATATCCCCCCTCCCATGAAATGACTGCAGGCCGGCCCTGCTGATCACTCTGATGTATGTTACACCATAGGTTAGACATTTATATAGTTAAGAGCCTGCTTACATAATCCCTTAAATCAGTTTAGATTTTGTAGTAAACCCCTCTCAATATTCAAATTCAAGCTGAAAAGACATTTTTGGTTTCATTATATTGCATTTCATCACAAGATAATTTTGCAGTGTTTATAAAATTTCTTTTTTAGTTTGTCAGTGGCTATACCTCTGATGGGGAAATACTCTTGGATTACTCAAAAAATATAATTACAGAGGAAACAATGAAACTTTTGTTTGAGCTGGTAAGATTTTTGAATATTCATGTTAGGATTTGTTTAGTTATTGCCTGGTCTGTATATTCAAATTTCATATAAAAGTGAGTTCTTTATTAGTTTTGTGGGGCCAAAATCAAAATCAGCGTAACATCAGGCTTCTGCATCTGCATGACGTCATGAGGAAGGTCTATTAAGCCAATGCCAATTTATATACTCCGTAAACAATATTAGGAAGCAATTTTGTTCAAAGATTTGTGTTAGAGTATTCTTTGTAGGTATTTTTTGTGAGCAGGTGGTCAAAGCTATTTCAGATACTGCACCATGCAGTTGTCATCTTTTTAAAGCTAGTTTATTGCACCCATTACCATGTGTGCATAGAAACCTGTAAAACTCTAAACAAACAGGTTTATATGTCATCCTACGTTTTCAGCAGATTTTTTAAGAGGATATACCCCCCAGCTTTTCCTCACTCCATTTCCCTTTTTATATATTACTGTAATTTCACTATAAATTTGAAATTTCAGGCTGAAAGTAGAAATGTTCTGGCGGCTCGGGAAAGGTTATTTTCTTGTGAAAAGATAAATTTTACTGAGGTAACGATATATAACCATACCATATAGCTACATCGTGTTTCAAAAACGTAAACCCTTTATCATCCTGTATCAAGCCTCTTTATAAATACCTATAATTTTATGCACTATGACAGGTTGAAGATTATAATGTTACAAACATTATATAATCTTCAACGTGAGAAAACATCGCCTTTTTTAATGGATCAAAACCTCTATAATGGCTAATTAATATCCCGTAACACAAAACACTTCAAAGTATTTTTTTGTATATCAATAGATTTAATCTATTTTCTATGTTCTAATGTGTAGAAAAGAGCAGTTCTTCAGGTTGCTCTTCGTAATCGTTCCAACACACCCATTTTTGTTGATAGTAAAAATGTATGTATAGAACTTTGAATATACATTCACCCATATCACCTCGAAACGAAATTTGAATATACGTACCGCTTTTATAGATTATCGGCGGTGCCTTTAAGTATTAAATTAATATATAATCATAAATTAATATTGTGTTTCTGTGTTTTCTAGCCCGGTTTATATGTTATTTTTAGGAAAGGTGTGCAACTTTTTCCCTAAACGATTTGTGTGTTCTCCAGCACAGCTTTAGCTGTGTAATGAAACACACCATGGTGTGTACGAAAACACACCTTCTTTGAAAACACACCTTAGAATGTGTTAAAATTTGGACAAGCAGAAAACACATCTTTTGGTGTGTTTTTTGACACACCTTGCTATGTGTTAACACACCTTTGGAGATGCTATTTGCACACATTATGATGTGTTAAACACACCTTTAGGTGTGTTTGAAAACCTATTTTTAGGTGTGTTAAAATTTGGACAAAAAAGGTGTGCAAATTTAACACACCTTTTTTAGTGTGCGCCAGAAAAGGCGTCTTTTATTAACGTTTTTAGATCATTTAACACGTCGATATTACTATCAGTATATGTTAAAAATAAAGCAGTCCACAATGTAGATTGTAGAGTAACATTGCCTAAAGAAAAATTTAAAAGTACGAAGTGCCTCTGCCAAAAAGTTTCGAATTTTAAAACAAAACATATTTTACGATCATTTATCTGCGCATTAGCCAAGCGCATTTGTCTTCACTGCATGTAGGCGCGATTTGCTATGAATACCGATTAAGAAGCCCTCTCTCAAAGTAAACAGAATCGGCAATTAAGAAGCTAACACACTCGAAAAGCAAATACCGTCGTTTTCATTTCACGTGTACACGTGCTCATAAAACATGTTTTAATTAGAGTCAAAGTTGTAACGTTTGGGTAAAGAAAACTTTTTTCCATTATCGCTAAAAACAGGCACAGGCAGCTAGGATACGTGTTCAGAAATAGGTTTTTACTGAAAAGGATTGCTTATAGCATTTAAGAAAGAAACTAAATAAACTCACCTTTCTTCTATTTTGCCAAGAACTGACGACGCACACGAACACACCCCAAACTCAACCCAATTCTTGCTATCGTACATATACGTCCGCCCTTCTCTTGTTTAGAAAACGTCTGGTTGCTACAAGGCATGATAAGGATTCGAAACATTTATCACCTAATTCACCTTACATCTCTCTGCTATAAACTTGTAAAGCAAACTGGGTTGAAAGTAAGCACGTACCATCTCAAGTTCCGTTTCCATTTTGTCTCTGTTTATTTTCGAGATTATAATCACCAAATACTTCCTTACCAACTACTTACAGCCTTGGCCGATTAACAAATTTGCTAATGGAGCACTGCATGTAACCCCCCAAAAAAATGATTACGTGGGCATTTTTATTTTGGATATTATCAGTTCAATAGAGTACTGTAGCCCAAAAAAGAAACATGAATACATAGGCATTCTTTTTTCGTTATTATCTGTTCAATGGAACATGTAACCCAAATAATTTTTGCAAATATTTGTCGGGCTTCTATAGAGCATTGAGCTCAACGTTAATTGAATTAACTATATAAAAATGAGTGGAAAACGTGGATGTGGTAGTTGTCCGAAGTGTAAAACTAACTATTTCAACCGTTATAAGCCGGCATTAGGCCCAAATTGCAATTATGCAGTAGAAGGTTCGTACGTGCCAAAGGAGAAAAAAGCAAAGTTAAATATTTTACCAGCTGCCTTTGTGTGTGAAAACGTAGCATCAATATCGACCACAAATTGCAACGATCGGTGTTTTGTTTCTCGTAGCAAAGAGGGATTATGGATATGCCTACAGGAGTCTTGCAAGCAGAGAAGGGCCGTTGTGTTAAATAGTGACTGTACTCAGTTTAGATGCGAGCACATAGACAAAGCTGTTTATCAGCTTTCTCAACCAAAAACGCAACACATGATAAGTGTAATGTATATATATATATATATATAGACACGGACAGTAATAGCTAAATATAGACTTGATATTGATTAGGGGATTGATTGACATTAATTGAGGGAGATCTAGTTATGTAAGGGATATAGAAAGATACATAGAAAAAGCGTAAGAAACAAGCAATATTACATTGGCGACGAAGACTAAAACAAGTGATTAAAACATATTATAATGGCGACATATCTCACGCCTATGCCACCGTTTGACCCTGATGCTGACGCGGGAGGAAATATAGCGGCTAAATGGCGTACTTGGTTGGCAGATTTCAAAACATTTCTAACGGCGAGCAACATTACAAACAAGACACGCCAACGAGCATTACTTTTATACCAAGCAGGACCGCGAGTACGGGAAATCTTTCGACACTTTCCAGACCCTGGTAACGACGACGACTTCGATAAAGCGACGGAACTTCTCACCGAATACTTCGAGCCTCAAAAAAATCGATTATACGAAGTCTACAAATTTCGACAAGCAAAACAGAGCGACACGGAAACGATAGATCAATACCACACGCGTCTACGAACACTGTCAAAAAACTGTGAGTTTTCAGATGTAGAGTTCGAAATTATGGTACAAATTGTTATTGGAGGAAAGTCAAGTCGCGTGCGTAAACAAGCGTTGCGAGACCCCAAGTATGTTTTAAAAGATCTTTTGCTCGCAGCCAGGCGGGAAGAAATAAGCAAGACGCATGCAGCTGACATTGAAGGACATTTAGACAGCTGCAATATTCAAGCAGTTAAAACGCCAACCGCGAAAGAAACAAAACACAAGACATCCAATAAGACATGTTTTTACTGTGGTGGCAGCTACCCTCACACCAACAAACCGTGCCCTGCCAAAAACAAGACATGTGCCAATTGTGGTAAACTAAACCATTTTGCTAGCCAGTGCCGCAGTAGCAACACGAGAGAAAATAGACAAACTGGTAAACCACGCGAAGACCTACGACCAGTTAACACAGACCTCCAGGACAACACTAGCAGCGACAGTAGTGGTCCAGAATATTGTTACGCGGTCAACAACAAACAAAAACACCCGCAAGCGTCAATTGCTCTCAATGGACAAAGAGTAAAAATGACCATTGATACGGGGTCAAGCATAAATGTAATCGATAAACACACGTTCCAACAACTGCGAGATATCCGACTTCAGCCAACATCCGTGAAAGCATATCCCTTCAATTCCACAACACCTGTGAAGATGGAAGGAAAATTCCGCGTTTTAGCAGAGTCGAAACACAAATTCACGGTAGCTACCATATTTGTTACTTCTGACGACGGCGGTTGTTTACTTAGTTCTGAAACTGCACAAGAACTTGGACTCGTAAGTCTCCATTTAAATCAGATAAACAAGGAAACAGAACGTTCAAAAATCACACCAACAACGAGCGATAAAAACCTCGCACGCATCCTAGATAAACATGGCCCTGTGTTCTGTGGACTTGGGAAACTAAAGAACAAACAAATCGAATTAGTTATCGATGAAACCGTTTCACCAGTTGCACAACCGCAGCGCCGAGCACCGTTCCATTTACGCGGAAAAATTGAAGATGAAATACGCAGATTAGAACAGGATGACATCATTGAGAGAATACCCGAAGGAATTTCAACGGAGTGGGTTTCCCCAGTCGTCGTCGTCCCAAAGCGTGACGATAAGATTCGATTGTGCGTAGATATGCGAGTAGCAAATACAGCTATTCAGAGAACTAGACATCCCATACCCACTCTAGAAGCTGTCTCTATTGAGCTTAACGGAGCTCGGTTTTTCTCAAAACTTGACCTAACTCAAGCCTACCATCAACTGGAGCTGAACCCAGCATCTCGGGGAATAACAACTTTCTCCACTCATCTCGGTTTATATCGCTATAAAAGATTAAACTACGGCACAAATGCTGCAGCGGAACTCTTCCAACACACCCTACAGGAGACATTACAAGGAATTCAAGGAGCTAAAAACATCGCAGATGACATCATCGTGTTTGGAAATACTCGACAGGAACATGACCAAGCATTAGAAGAAGTACTTACACGTCTGCAAGAGAGTAACCTGACTCTCAATCTACAAAAGTGCAAATTCCTCAAAAAGAATCTTGAATTCTTTGGACTGGTATTCACAGAAAAAGGTGTTAGCCCAGACCCCAAGAAAGTGGACGCTTTCGCCAATACAAAACCACCAACAACAGTCGGTGAAGTGAGAAGTCTATTAGGAATGGCTAACTACAGTGCTAAGTTCATCAAAAACTACGCGACCATTACAGAGCCACTCAGAAAATTGACCCAAAAAAACGCTCGTTTTACATGGACGACAATACACCAGAAAGCATATGAAGACCTAAAGAGTGCTCTGACTAACAGTCCAGTTATGAGCCATTTCGATACATCCAAAGAAACCTCAGTCCTGGTGGATGCAAGTCCCGTTGGTTTATCTGCCATATTGACGCAAAAGGATCCAAAAACAAACGAAGACAACACTATCGCTTATGCCAGCCGAGCATTATCCCCAGTAGAACAACGGTACTCACAAACCGAGAGGGAAGCTCTCGCGATCGTGTGGGGCATTGAACATTTTCACCTTTACCTGTTCGGTGCACCTTTCAACCTAATTACTGATCACAAGCCATTACAGTTGATCTACAACAATCCTCGGTCCAAACCTCCAGCTAGAATAGAACGTTGGTTTCTAAGACTTCAGCAATACCATTTCAATGTTATCTACAAACCAGGCAGTGTTAACCCAGCAGATTTCCTGTCACGACATCCGCAATCGAAGATACCAAAACACAACCTTGCTGAAGAATACATAAACTTCATCTCGACTAATGCCGCGCAAA